CCCCAAAACCCCAAAACCCCAAAACCCCATAATTCTATAATAGAGCATTAAATCAATTCTATAAAATAAAAATTTTCTCGCATAAAGATAAACAATAAATGAGAGATTAAAGTTTAGATCATGTACGAGCTTCCCATTAGAGTATGGAGAAGCCCTTAAAGATAAGATCAAATTCAAAGTAAACTAATCGGGTTAAAATAATGGCAAATAATAATATTGCCAGTGCATAGGAAATGCTTTTCAAACCTCTTAGACTTAACAGCGAGTATCTTACTCAAAGAAAAATATAAATGGAAAATAAATCGGGAATCATTGTTTAGGAATATGCTTTTAAGGATAACTGGCTAAGACTTAGCCGAGGTCTTAGTAATTTCAGAGTCACAGATAAAATGACCGAGAAACGTTAGTTACCTTAAAAAGTTGTCAAGGTTAAGGAAAAGGTAAAGGTAGTGGAGGATAACAGTTTTGAAGGACTCTTATTGAAAATCGCGAATCAAACTGAAAATATTTTAGAATAAGCTAACAGTCCAATGAATAAACCGAAGGTTAGCGAAATGAAGTAAAATAGTGCTCATTAGGGACCATTTAACTACCAATAAAAAATAGAGAAGAATAATAACAGCATAGAAAAAGAAAGTAAGAGCTTGCATATTTAGAATTTTCAAATGGATAACTCCCTAAAATAAAGGCCAAGAACTAATTTAACTACTAACAATAATATTACCATAACTTCAGATAATGATAAAAGCAACACTAATTTAAGATACGATTCAAGTTAAACTTTGGATTAGAAGGAAATTATTAATATAAATATAGACACTGCCCTAAACAATTCTGATGGAAGAATACCTGAGTCTAATCAGAAAAACATGCAGAAAAGGGGTAGAAAGTTGAGAAAGATAACCTCTGGAACTGGATCTAGGTAGAATTAAGCTGGCAAAAACTTTCTTCTTAACAGAGATAAAATGATGAATCAAAGAGCAATGTCTTCCTACAAAAATTATGAATATGCATCAACAAAGCAAACGTCTACTAATTATCTAAGCTAGAATGCTAGAACAATCACTTCAAACAAGCTATTATATAACAACTCAATTGCAAATGCAAGAGATTAAGTGTCTTCTGCGGCCAGAGAAACTTCGCCTAACTCTAATCCTCGAGTAACAAACATACTTAGATACTAAACTGCTCACTATTAGAAGTTTATAGATGAGCCCAGAGTTAAGATGGCCTTAAATTCCAATAAATTAAATTTGAGCACTCCAAATAAAAGTAGCATATAGAATATGAGAATGCAAAGCAACTATTATCAAGCTCAGAGTTTTATAAATCAGTAGCAGTTAAACCAGTTTAATATTAATAGAAATTTCACACATTTAGATTAGTCAGTGAACTTTGTAAAGTAATCTATTGAGGGTTTGGATGGAACTGGCATTGCTAATCTAGATTCTACTTTAAAATTATCAGATCTTAATCATGATCTAGGAAATCAACCTTTTTATCCCAGAGAGAGATATCATAAAGAGCAAGGAGGTTAGATAAGTAGCGTTAATACATAGGAATTTTAGCTTAATAATGATAAGCATCAAAGTATATTTGATAAAAGTCTCATGTTTAGCTAGAATAATGCCCTGATTAAAAGTAACAATGAAAATTCAGGTTTCATTAACAGACAAACAAAAAGCAACTATCACAATAATAATCAAATTCAGAATTCATAATCCATTGTCAGCCAAAATAGTAGTTAAAGAGTGCTTATTGGCAGCAGCTTAAGAAGTAACTATGGTTAAAAGTTTATTTAGGGTAAGTAGCTGAGATTCTACTAAAATAAATACAATAGCAACCTTGATAGTGCCATGAAAATGTCAGAAATTGTTACTAGGAAGGAATCTCCAAGTCACATTAATGAGATTTACAATCCACAATAAATAAATCTTAACATAAGACAAAGGACAAATGACAGAAATAAGAATCCAATAGAGGAGATTAATCCTATGCTAGACCATACTTAATCGTTTGATCCTAAAACTAATAGATAATAATAGCATAATAATGGAGGCAATTAGCAACTGAATAATAACGGTTAAACTCAATATAAAGACCTTATAGATTAGATTGAATCTCTTTGTGTGACAATCAACTCACACACAGAAGCAATATCTGCAAGTAAAAGCCAAGATGATATGCAAATTCTACTATAGATGCTGGATTATCTGTAAAATCAAGATCATCAGAATATAAGCCCTGCTGAAATAGACTAAATTCAGGCAGAGATCTACTCCATATCGCTTTTAAATAGGCTTAAATTTTACAATGACAATTTTTGAAGAATCAAATCAACTGTAGAGACAGGATAAGCGCTTACAATTATTAAATTTATTGGCAGCATTATACTAAATTTATTTCCATTAATTTATCTCTTTAACTTGAGCGATTGTAATTTGATGGGGTTTTGGGGTTTTGGGGAGATCGGAAGAG